TCCCCAATTTGATATCCAAATTTTTTCTTTAGCTAAATCATTTGACCCCTCATCACCTACTCTTTTTCTATTTTCACTTTCACTTTCTACCTTACACAATTCCCAAACTCATCCACTAACACTTTGCAATTTTTTCTTTAGAATCTCCCTAGATCACAGTATCATCACAAAAAGTAACTGTGTCAATCCCATTATTGTAATTTGATTCCCCAAAAATTTTAATCCCACCCCTCTCTCAAACACCCTAGCATTTACTTCCTTTAACAACCCCATCTATAATATATTAAACAACACAGTTGACATTACACATCCCAGTCTAAGACCTCCTTTGACCAGGAAGTAGTCTCCCACACTCTACACACCCTAACTTAGACCTCACTATCCTCATAAAAACTCTTTACAGCATTTAAGAACTTACCACATATTCCATAATACATGCAACATCTGCCACATTGCTCCTCTATCCAACTCTATCATATGCCTTTTTCTAAATCCATAAATGCAATAAAAACTGTCCTACCTTTATCTAAATACTGTTCACAATATATGCTTCAATGTAAACACTTGATCTACACATCCCCTACCCACTCTGAACCTCCTTGCCATGCCGCAATCCTACATTCTGGTCTTACCTCTAATCTCTTCAATTTATAACCTACGTACACTTTTCCTGTTATACCAGTAAACTTATTCCTATACACTTTTACTGTCTCTTTTGTCCCCTTTCCTTTATATACAGGGACTATACATGCTCTCCGCCAAGTCCCTAAGGTACCTTCCCCTCCTTTCTAATTATTAAACAAAAGTACCAACCACACCAACACTAATTATCCCCCCCTCTTTTAACATTTCTGTCAATGATCCCCATCAGTTTTCAGCTGCTTTACCCCCTTTCATTTTACGTAATGCCTCACGAACCTCCCCCACACTTACATTCTTCTCTTCTTCACTCCTAAGATGGTATACCTCTCTGACCAGTGCACGAAATTACTGCCTCTGTTTCTTCCTTAACATTTAAAAAGTTTCCTCAAAATATCTCGCCATCTACCTAATACCTCCCTCTCCCCATCAACTATCTCCCCCTACTCTGTTTTTAACTGACAAATCCATGCTTCTTACTTGTTTTTTTTTCTTTTTTTTTTTTATAACTCCACCCCCCACAAAAATTTTTTCTTATTTTCATTAAAATTTTGCCATGAGATTGCCTCTCCCACCTTTGGGATCTGCTCTCCTTTGCACACTCCTCACCACTCTCTTACCTTGTCTTTATACCTCTCCATATACTCTGCTCTTCTTATAACACTTCTGCTTTTGTAAAAACCTCTCATAAGCTACCTTTTTCTCTTTTATCCCACACCCTTCACTTCATCATTCCACCAATCACTCCTCTTTCCTCCTGCCCCCAGCCGCTCCTATAACCACAAACTTCTGCCCCACATTCTAATACTGGCTTTTTTAAACTATTTCCAACTCTCTTCAACCCCCCCACTAACTCATCTTTGCACTAGCCCACCTTTCAGCCAATTAGTCCGCTTATTTCTCGCCGCGAACTTCCTCCTCCCTTAGTGCTTATACACTTTCACTTCCCTCTTACTTGTTGTTGCCACCTTCCTCTTTTCCCATCTACCTCTTACTCAAACTGTTAAGCTACAACTATATAATAATCCATATATCAGTGGCCCCTCTATAAACATGTACATCCTGGGAGCCCTACCGCAACAACCTTTTATCCACAATACATAATCTAAATAAACTACTTTCATTTCGTGTCTACTACATACCTTGTATATTTATTTATCTCACTTATGTCACTAAAAATATGTATTTTCACTTATTACCAAATTCTCTTTCTACACAAAGCTCAATTAAAGGCTCCCCATTTAACATTTTACCCCTGCACCGCCAAAAAAAAAAAAATTTTTTTTCAATACCTACTACTCCCCCCATAACATTTTTACACCACTTTAAAGCATTGAAATCCCAACCACCATTACTCTCAAATATTTTTTAATATTAGTCTACAGTAGCATAATACCCTGTACTTAAATTGTATTTTTACTGTTGTTATTTACACCATATACATTTTTTTTTTCAACAATCGGCCGTCTCCCACCGAGCAGGGTGACCCCCAAAAGAAAGCAAATCCCCAAAAAGAAATACTTCATCATCATTCAACACTTTCACCTCACTCACACATAATCACTGTTTTAGCAGAGGTGCTCAGAACACAACAGTTTAGAAGCATATACGTATAAAGATACACAACACATCCCTCCAAACTGCTAATATCCCAAAACCCTCCTTTTAGAGTGCAGGCAATTGTAACTCCCATTTCCAGGACTCAACGTCTGGCTATATAAAAATATCCGGTTTCCCGAATCCCTTCACTAAATATTGCCCTGCTCAACACTCCAACAGACGTCAGGTCCCAAATACCATTTCGTCTCCATTCACTCCTATCGAGAACACCTCATTGCACGCCTGCGAATTCCAAGCCCCTTCGCCCACAAAACTTCCCTTACCGGCTTCCTTCCAACCATTTCGATGATTACCCTACCCCGCCTTCCTTCTCCTACAGATTTAAATGCTCTGCCATGTCCATTCTACTTTGTTCCATTGCCTCTCTAAATGAACCAAATCCACCTCAACACCCCCTCTTCAGCCTCTGACTAATACCTTTAATTAACTCCACACCTTCTCCTAATTTCCAACTCCAAATTTCTGATAATAATTAATCACCACAGCATTGCCCTTAGACATTACATCTCCACTGCCTCCAACCGCCTCCTCGGCTGCTGCATTTCCACCCAATCTGCACACCGTCATATAAGAGTTTTGTACTACTATACTTTCATACATTCCCCTTCTATGGCCACCAATAAACGTTTTTTAGATTCCACATATACCTCGACGCACCACTCACCTTTTTTCCTTCATCAATTCTATGATTAACCTCATCCTTCATAAATTCAAATGTTTCAGTCTGAACTTTCTTGAAGCAAGGTAACATGGAAAAATTACTTCTTAACAGTGAAACAGCACATCAGACCATGTTTGCAACATGTTCATATAAACCATGCCATCAACACTTCCCTCAAAAAGTATAAATTAACTTACTTATTATTATCACACTGGCCGATTCCCACCAAGGCAGGGTGGCCCGAAAAAGAAAAACTTTCACCATCATTCACTCCATCACTGTCTTGCCAGAAGGGTGCTTTACACTACAGTTTTTAAACTGCAACATTAACACCCCACCTTCAGTTTTATTAAAGAGAAATAGTTTTTTAAGTAAAGGATTATTTGACCCATATGTTACTGGGAGGGACCTGGTATATTTCTGTTCATTCTACACCCATTTTTATTTATCTTGTACATCCTGGTGTACAACTAATTCATTATCTTTGTCAGACCATAAAATTAGCTGCAAACAAGTATAGCCAAAACACTTAAAAAGTTTGAAATGTCATTTCCATGTTACATGACAACGACTTCTTGGTAGAGCAAGAAGAACCTGTAGATGTTTATATTGGATATAAAGTGGTGAATATGACCAAAGATATTTGCCTAGTATAAGTTACATCATGTCACACCTAAATTAAGCATGCAAATTTAAATACTTGATCTATTTTGTACCCAGTATGCTGCTATACAGTAATAGATTTGATTAACAGTTTAGGGTTAAAAAAAAATATGTATATATAGTTTGAATACGATGCTTACCTTCAAGTAGCCTGAGGACATAAAAGAAACGAGGTGATGGATGAGGTACAGTACTACACTACATTCATATGCATATTTAGTCTTACATTCATATGCATATTTAGTCTTACATTCATATGCATATTTAGTCTTACATTCATATGCATATTTAGTCTTACATTCATATGCATATTTAGTCTTACATTCATATGCATATTTAGTCTGTCTTCTTAATGCCATTATTTATTCCTTGTCTAAATCTTTATGCTAATTTTGTTACATATTTAGGTTAAGTTATCATCAATTAAATTTAATAAATTATAGCATACAATTATGCCAATAAATGCAAGAATGCTTAAAGGAAAGACTTTATTTTGAAGTGTGAACATAAAAAAGGGGTCCCACTTTTGTATTTTAGTGTCTGCCACTTTACTGGCAGTTTTGAAGCCAAAGTAAAAGTAAATGTTTGCTTAGGAAAATGAGCTGGCAAAGATAAAATAATGTTCTACATCACAGACAAATCCATTAAAATAATTCCAAATAGTGTACAATTATATATACGTACGTATATACTTCACTTACACAACAAACTACTAAACTTTGAATTTCAATTTCATGGACTCTGCAAAATATTGGGGACACATGGGCATACCTTTACATAAAAAAAGCCAACGATCATTTGGACCTATAAGCAACAGTGGACACAACGTAAAATGGTGCCCTTGTTCAGCATGTTACCCCCTAACTGTTACCCTGTCTTGCTAAAAGAAAGCTTAATTTTTTATTACTATTAGTGCAGAAATTTTCATTGGTAGACTGGTCTTCAGTTGGCACATGGATGACTTATAGGAGGGGGGGAAGAAATAAAAGGGATGTTCATTTTTATAAGTGATAGCTCTCATTTTTTGGCATCATCACACTATTCATACCCAGCCTGTCCTCACTGCAAATGTCCTGAACACTGCAGGTTTTAGATATAAACTTGTTTTCTGGACCCAATAATCCTAACTTTTTCGCAAGGTTTCAGCTCAGAATATTTAGAGTACGGGTGAACATTGTTCTAACCTCTCTGGATCATGTTCATGAAACGAGTTTACATGTACCCGTTCTTCACTGCTGCTGTAGTGACTGATATTTTTCTCATTCAATTTGAACTTTTATTTTGCTCCCTTCCTTCTACTTTCCTGTGTGTTTAGTTGGTGACACCCCAAGTTTTCGTCAGCATCTTGTAAATAATAGCACCGTTTGTTTGCATAACACCAAACTAAACATTTTTTCATTGTAGGGTTCAGTCTGGCTGTGGACACCTCCACATTCTAACTTAAGAGATAGTAATTATACCTATTTGTAGCTATAGAGGTACAGCTAGGTTTGTGCTGTCCCATCTTTGGTACTTTGTAATGTTTCTTAAGTTTCCAGTAGGTGTAGCACTTAATAACTCCTCTTGTAGCCCACTGTGAGTGGCACTGTTTGAACAAAGCACAGCATGTAGACTCTCGAAGCATGAGAATTAATGTAGGAAAAGCCTTGTTAAAATTCTTGACAATAACAATTGATTTTAATGGTAAAGGCCAAAGAAATACAGTTCATACTGTCTATCAAAGAACTAATTTGTTGCCGCTGGATGCCTCGTTCATAAAATTAAAAGTTTCTTCTTATGAACTGCATTAGGAAATTGTGATTATACACTTATCAGTATCACAAGAGTCAGCTGTGAAAAAAATCAAATATACTTCATGCAGTTTTAGATAATTATTCTTTATAACTACTATATTTGTCAATGATATACAAGTATGCATATACAGACAAATATACATGACTACAATTAGTTGACAAAATTATCATTGTAGGTGTTTAACACATGACAACTATAGCTGCTCATCATTCCATCTATGTCTGGATGAGTTTGTCTAATAATGAAGGTCAATAACACTGGCTTGTTGAGGAAACAAACTGATTTCCTACAGGCAAGTTCATTTCAAGATAATTTAATGCTGTAGTTAGTCACTTGATTTTTTTACCATATTTCTGATACAGGTCGGCCATCACTGGGACCTGTAGTGTGCCAGATTAGTGAGTTTGCCAGATTACAGAGTGGTTAGGTTAGAATACACTTTATTAACCTATCACGCTTTCTCCTCCACTGGCTTGCTGCTGTGGATTTACAACCATCTACACAATTTCTGAGTCAGTATAATGATGAAATTTGAGTCAGTATAATGAAATTTGCAATTATGCTAGCCAAAATTAGTGCCAGATTACTTATGGAACCAGATAACTGATTGCCGGATTAGTGATGGCCGACCTGTACCTAGTTTCTAATTGCAAGCTTCCTTACTGTAGTAACAACATGAGAAAAACTTGGCAGACAATGCAGTCACTGACTTGTCCAAGTCTTAAGAGATAAAGATATTACAATAACAGGTGGAACATTTACTAAAGAATTGATGCCATTACCATAATACTTTTTTGTTTTATATCTATCTACATATGGAAAGTGATGACTAAAATTCATGGCTATATGGATTAAACAATTTTGTTATTCAATGAAAATTTTTGAAGATAAGCTTAGAGTACATTACCAAAATTTGACAGTGAGCACATATCCCCCCAAAAAATGTTGAGCATGACATAATATTTCATCATACATAAAGCACTCCATATATAATTGAAATCTTCTCAATACTCTACCTTGTTACATCCCTGAATACCAGAAATCAATATAATTCTGGCTTTTCTGAGATACTGCGATGATGCACCATTGTATTGTACTGTGTCAGTTTTTCGGATAAGGGTAATGTGCTTTATTTGAAACAGTTTAAAAACTACAACAATAGCTTCTGGAGAGAGAAGTTTCAGTTCACCCCAACACACTCTTTAATCTTATAAGAGCATAGTACGAACCTAGAAAAAGAAACAAAACAGTGTTATAGTAAGTATTTAGAATATCAGTTATGTACTGCTATGTATATAGATTCATAAGCTAGATACTAAAAGCCACATCAATACAAATACAGTATGTACAATATACAAAATCATAAACCTACCAAAGAGTTTGTAGAAAGATGGCTTTTCATTAGTTTCTTGTGTATGAAGAAACCTGCACTCTCATCCATAATGTAGAACTCTACATTAATTTCCATAAATTTTAGCCATCATGATTTTCCATCAAGGCAGGGTGACTCAATAAAATATTTATTTCCTTGTGTGTTTTAGTTAATAATTACAGGTAAAGGGATAACCAGCCTCTTGCTCTTGGCATCTTATGAGTGAAGAATTCTAATGTAGTATACTCTATCAGAGGAGATTTTAAAATACAGTTTACTCTAAAATCATTTGTCATTGAGGTCTTGGCACTTGTGCTTAGTAACACTAGTAAACAATGTGCAGTGCTGAAAGTCCTATCCCCCTTTTAGATATATTTTGTGAATATAACACCAATAATATACTATAACTGAAAGTTTCCTCAGTTTGAAGTTTAATTTCATTGATATATATTATTATGACTGGAATATTAATAGTCTTCAAACAATACTAGTACAGTGGAACCTTGGTATACATCCGCTTTGGAATAAGTCCAACTTGGTATACGTCCTGTTTGGACGTGAAAATTTTTGCTTGGTATACGACCTTTGTTTGGAATATGACTCGCATGCTAGAACTTGTAAGAGTCGAAATCAGTCATGACACCACGCGATACCCTTGTTTACCTCTCTCTCAAGACAAAGCCATGACTGCCCACTAGCATCACTATGCCAATTGCTACCATTCAGTGAACAATACGCGCTGTAACTCTCTGAATTTTCATGTGATTTTGTATTTTTTCATATAAATTTTTAGTAAATTCATTAACCATGAGTTCTAAGAAAGTTAATGAGAAGAGCCAAGCAACGAACACAATAACCCTGAGAGAGTGTTGGAAAGCTCACTTTACTATCACCCATTGCATAACTTTCATTGACAAAGCCTGGCAGGAAGTTTCATACAGAGCAATGAACTCTGCTTGGAGGAATTTGTGGCTAGAAGCAGTGGCTGAAAGGGACTTTGAGGCTGTGTCTATAGTTGAGGGTATAGTCTCTCTGGGAAGGTCCATGGGTCTGGATGTCAGTGATGGTGATGTGGAGGAGTTAGTGGAGGGCCACAGGGAAGAGCTGACCACTGAGGAGCTGCAGGAACTTGAGAACGAGGAGTACAAGACTAAGATGGATGCATTCTCTTCAGGCTCAGAAGAGGAGATAAAGAAAGCCCCTACTTAATTAATCAAGAAAATTTTTGCCAAATAGATGGACGTCAAAAACTTTGCAGAGAAGTACCACCCCAACAAAACCCAAAGAAGTCGTAATAACACTGGAATGACCAGACAATGTCAGATTTCCAAAATATCCTGAGGAGAAGGCAGAAGTAATTTCTTTGGACAGATTTTTAGTAAAAGTAAAACCTGGTGAGCTTCAACCAGGTCCAAATAGGGAAAAAGAGGCAGAAAAGAGAAGGGGACTCTCCTTCCAAACAATAACATTTCCTCCTCCTCCCTTCTCAGCATTATCCTAGTGGGCATTCGACTCTTTTCAGCAAAGTAAAGTGAGGTTAAATTTGCATTTATTTCATCTAATTCTTTTGTATTTATGTATGTATATTAGTATTCAGCAGTGTTTAAATTACATATTTTACAATTAAGCAGTGTTTAAATTATTTTATACAACCTCATCAATGTATAATATGCCAATAACAATAGATTTTTTTTTCATGGGAACGGATTAATCGTTTTCTCTATATTTCTTATGGGAAAATCCGTTTGGTATATGTCCTGTTTGGTATAAGGCCAAAGTCCTGGAAAGAATTAAGGACGTATACCGAGGTACAGTACCACTGTACTTACATGCAGTCATGAGTCAAAGCCTGAAAACAAAGGCAATAAACAAGTACATGGGAGAAATCACTTATGACAGAAAAATGAAACAAACGTAAATCAGATCTGTATATTTCAGCCTTGGTCCAAAACATTTTAAATAGACGAAGAGGATCTGCTGAAGCGAGTCTCGGACTAAAGCCAAAATATACACATCTATTTTTCCTGTGTTTTATTTTTCTATCCAAGTGGTTTTCTACTTTGCATCAAGTCAGTGTTCAACAATTTAATTTACCAAAATCGTATACAGTACCTCCAAGAATTAAGTGAAAATTACTGTTGTCCACCCTAAGACAAACGGGAGAAGATTACACCTGCATAATGAACACTGACATGCAAAAAAAAAAAAAAAATTTTTGACAAGTAATCGCAAACGTGGTACCCCCCGATTTAAAAATTTTTTAATTTTGTTCCATGACTGAGCTTGTAACTAGTTTGCTCACATATCAAAATCAATTTTCCCACAAAATTAACTGAAATGCCTTTAAATTTTCTTTTCCAGCCCAAAAAAAAAAACCCCCCCAATATTTTTTTTTTACGGTTTTTTAACCCTTAAACTGCCCAAACTAAATCACGTTTCACCACACCCCTCTCATGTAGATCTTTTTTTTTTTTTCACTTTGAAAGCATGTAAAATAAAACGTAGATCGCTTTAGGCACTACGGTGAAAATTAGATCATTTTTGGACATTTAAGGGGTTAAATACAAAAAAAGTATTTATAAATAAAAAATGTTTTTTCCCTTTTTTTGCCAGACCCAGAAATTTTTTAGAAATGCTTGAGTATAGATGAAACTCCTTGAACACGGGGGAAGATGATGTCACTCACGCTGACGTGCAGCAATGGAGGACATTTTTAAAGACTGCACTGCCCTTTCTTTATTTTCACTGTAACCAAAGTGTCTGTCGTTTTTTGCGTCTAACTCTGTCTATGTTTATCTGTCCTCTCTCTACTTGTCTCTCTGTCTCAGAGAAGAGAGAGAGCGCTCAGAACCAACAGTATTTCACACAAACAGAGTTTCATGTCTATTCCGAACAATTTAAAATGTTATTACAGTGGGGCCCCCGCCCAACGGTGGCATCAAAAAAGGGGAAATTCGTCTAATGCACTCTTTGGGGTAAAAAAATGGGCCCACGACGCAAAAAAAACCCTCTAAGGGGATTTGCCCAAGCGGGCCCCGCCACTTTTAAAACTCGTGTCCATTGTTTTCAAGCCGTTGTGGGCGATTCCACGTTACCTGCAAAATATTTTTTTTATTATTCCCGTGTTTTAAAATGCTTGTAACTGCTAAATAAGCCACCATGGGCCCCCCAAAAAGCTCTAGTCCAACCTGTGGAAAAAAGAGGAGATTTTTATGGGGAAAGAAAAAGAGATCGCTGAAAAATTGAAAGTGGATGTGTAGCCCCATTTTGGAAAGGCTAACAACAGCCTCTTTTCCCTATCATATCAAACTTCTGATCTTTTTTCTTCTTTCCTAGTCTTTATTACCATGCATTTACTGGAGTTGAATTCTAGCAACCACATATCTGACCACTTTTGCAATTTCTCCAAATCATTTTGGAGCTATCCTTGTCCTCATATAGCATCTTTTTTATTCTCCTTTCACGATTTTTACATCAACAGCAAACAGGGATTTATCTGAATCAAATACATCTGGAATGTCATTCACATAAGCCAGAAACAGTACTGGTCCTAATACCAGTCCCTGTGGAACCCAGCTAGTTATTCTTTCCCATTTTGACATCTCTTTCCTGACAGTCACTCTGCTTCCTTTGCGTACGATACTCTTGACCTACCAAAGTATGTTTCCCGTTATTCCTACCTGAATCTGAAGTTTTTTGCCCTGCCTTTTGCATGATACAGTATCAAATGCTTTCCTGAAATCTTAAAAAATGCAATCCATCCAACCCTTTTGTCACGCATTTGTTAATTAGTAATAATAAATAAAATAAATTATTTTTTTGCTAAGGTTACAATGTGTGTTTACATATCATAATTTGATTCGAGCAAAGAAAGCCACTATCATGCCGAGGCATTTCAGGCAGACTTAACCTAATACTTATAGACAAAGCTTTGACAAGTTAGCAAGACAAAATTTGCCCTCCCTAAACCCATGCTGGTTGTTGTTTATGAAGCCACTTCTCTCCCCTGATAATTTTTTCCATTACCTTGCATGGTATGCATGTCAGAGAAACTGATCAGTGGTTTAACACCTATCTTTTCTTAAATATAGGGGCTATATTTTCTGTCTTCCAGCTCTCATAACTGTCCCATGTCAACAGACTCACTGTAGGTCATAGCTAGTGGTTTAAACAATGCTGTACTCCCTCTTGCAGAATCCATGGTAACATGCTGTCAGGTTCCATTGCCTAGGATGTATCCAGGTCTATCAAGAGTTTCTTTACCTCTTCCACTGTTGTTTGGATGTTATTCAGTACTTGTCGGTGCCCTACCCCCGTTCCATAGTCTCACTGGTATTGCCAGTTTCTGCAGAGAAAACCACTTCAAATCATTTTATCAATCCTTCACACACTTGTTATTTGTGAATTCTCCTCCTCCTCTCCTCAGTCAAATTACCTTGCCTTTTACTGTTGTCTGTCTTCTGATGTGGCTGTGAAATAGTATGAATTCAGACTTGTCATTCTCAAATTCCCAGTCTCTCTTCTTACCCTAGTCAGTCCACTCACTTGTGTGTGTGTTTGTGTATTCACCTATATGTACTCACCTATATTTGGCTACAGGGATTGAGTTTAGCTCCTGACCCCACTCTCAACTGCGTGGTGCAAGATTCATCCCTGCTACCTCATGGGTCCTATCATACCTGCTCTAAGCTATGTATAGAGCCTGCCTCCACTACCTCTTCACTGAGATCATTTCACATTCTGACCAACCTGAGACTGAAGAAATACTTCAACATTATCATGTTTCTTCTGTCCCATATGTTGTTAGGTAATGACACATATGGCCCAACAGTTAGTATTTTTTATTATGAAACGTTT